TCTGAGGGTGACTTGAGCACTAGCTTTCTTTATGCATGGTCTATCTACCCAGTAAGGAAGTTTTGGTGAGTGGCTTGAAATTGTCTGAAATCAATCACCAATTAGACTCCCAGAAAAAAATACTGGATGCATCATTCATGCCGCTAATCACCTTTCAACCATGGGACTTGTATCAAGTAGTCACTTTTTGATGGGCTGCTCGATAGACAAATTCTCAAATGAGGCTTCCAGTCATGTGAACGATTGCATTGTTCTTCACTAAGCATCGATTATTTGTATGGTTCATGTGACAACCTTCAAAAGTGGGGTTCAGTCATGTGATTGGTTTCATTCTTCCTTCTTATTTATTGACTAACGATAGGGTGTTATGTTAGCCACTGTCCACGAAGCGATGGTCACTCATGTGCGCCCCCGATCCCATGTATATTTACACATGTAGTAGGGTGTATTATGAAGCCGCGAGTAATGTCGACCACTTTAAAAAACATGATGTGCGAGAAATATTTAACATGCGTGCGTAGAATCCAAAATTTCCGAATCCCGGAACTGCTAGGCTTTGAATTCAAAACCGTTTCTTGTGGGTGGAATGGCTTTAAGGCGCCAGATATGCGTGCACTGCAGTTCTGAAGATTGTGGTGACCATTAATTTGGCAAAGATATTTTCCTCGAGAATGTGGATGGCTACACCTGCAGGTTTGATTTCAACGGATAAAAGTATCTGAATGTCTTGTTGCTGTTCCCGTTGATAAAACAGGGACAATTTCCTCGTTGTGCAGGGTACTTGGCTCTTCGTGTCCGTATTAATTTGGTGCCCAACAGCAAAGAGCTAAGCAGCTTCATCGCGACCTACACCCTCGATATTCTAGACAGCAGTCACTTAGTGCCTTCTTGTTACCCTGAACCCCGGTCTGGACAGTCACTCAATCGCCAGGTGCGCTTGGCCAAACTAGAATTGTCAACGGAACGTGCGAGCCAGCTGCTCTATTGATCACTGTCGCGTACAAGCGGTTTACAGTGATACTGCCAAGGTCGAGTGAAGAACAACAAATGTCAGCTAAGCCCTGAAGAACCGTCCTTGCAACAATAGCTTCTGTGTTGCGCGTAGTTTTCTCAAGCATTGTGACGTGCAACTAGCCTGAATAGTTCAATCCGTGGCAGTGTAATAGCTAGATATTTTCTATTATCCTCCCCGTGACCGGGAACGAATGCTCCGCAGGCTTCAAGATATTCAAGGCATGCGACAAGAGGACTCTTATGGGCGCGTTTCAAATCACTGCGGTTTTTCCAAACGCATTTCGCTTCCACAATTTAGCTAAAGATTTCATCCTATCTGCAAAACAGTGGAATCACACACGCCGACCGAAATCCTAGCCGTCGACGTCGGGTGGTGTCCACGGATCACCACACTTTGAGATGTCCTGTGGGCGCCAGTCTTGCCAAAAACACAAGGTGTATTTTGCAACTGATCTAACTTTAATGAAGTGTCATCAACTGTGGACAACCTCCTTTAAATTGCATAAATGTGAGTTTAATGGTAATGTTTTTTTATTGATTCGGTCGCAAATGGGACGCATGGGGCCTGAAACAAAATACCCAAATCCTATTTCTATTTTTGCTTGAGCATTTTGCACGATCGCAATGAGATGCACATGAGGTCACGAAATACGTTTATTTTCTCACAATCGATACGTGCTCTCGACCTGTATCGCGCCCGAATATCCACCAACCACTGAACCCAGATAAATGACCGTTGATTGTTTACGTTTCTCATAAAATATATTGTCTCAGTCATAATCTCTGAAAGAAAGTCTAAAAATTGCTTCTCGTTTCGCATCCCTTGCAATCAATCAACTTAACGACTGTCCTGATATTGATGGAAGCGTCGCAGATATCTGATGTTGGGTCAGCTTAGCTTCCCAATTTGGCCGCGCCCTTTCGTGGACAATGTGTGTTGTGAGGCTTTACGGCGGCGATTGCGGGAAACAGCAACACAACGTGATACAATACGGACTGATGGTATTATCCGAACCGGTAATCGACAATTGCTAACCTTCCACCCAAGTGAAATAACGAGCACCCTGGATTATCAGAATTGGTTAGATGGACGAAAGAGCCTTTATTCACCTCGTTTTGTTGCTATTCGTTCAAGCATGTTTCATACCAAGTCAATTTCACTAGATAATTTCACTCAAAGGCAATTGTTTCTACCACTTTGTTTCATTCTGGATGTTGCTAGCATCGAGACTTCCAGGTCGAACGATGTCTTTCATTCCACTTCCAAAGCAAAATCCGTCTGTGGAAAAATAATTGACACATCTATGGAACATCGCATTGAATTCATCCGACCGGTCTTTCCAGGATACCAGATCTATAAATTTTTGCTCGGAAGGAGATCGATGCGCAGAAGCGTGCATACGCCAAACTATCAATTCGAGCTGATTTTCCCAAGCATTCTTTTGGAAATATTGACAGTCACATATGCGCACAAACGCAACCACGCAAATGGTCCCTAGCTTAATCATCCGATGTTGTAATCAATACGCGCGAGGCCGTTCATTATCATTCATCATTGTCAGCTGTGGCAACCGCGTACTTGTCGTACAGTGGTTGTAGCTGCCGCAGTTTCGTGCACCGATCATTGGGGGGTAGCTTGCTGCGCATTGCAGGCGAGAGTTGATGAATTGGTGCGTAAATCCAACGGTCAGTAGGCTGTCAATTAGAGGGGTGTTGGAAGAGGATCTGTGCATTGAACGCAATAGCTTTGATGCACGAGCGCTATTCAGAGTGCGACTAGGCCATGTCTGACAGTATCTCTAGGCATTGATGACGCCTGTCTCGGAATCCTCATCCAGGAAGACGGCGATTAACAGCCAAGCTGGTAAGGGTTTGTAAACTTCGCTGCAAAGCCATTGTTTGGCCGCCTCTGGATCTCTTCCACCCTTCACCTGGTTGTGCGAAACGTGCTCTTCAAGGAAGTCGGTCGACTGGCATACGCAGCACGTGGCCAAGCCAGCGCAACCTGTGCAGTATAGACTGATTCCAGCAATCTGGTGAGCCAGGCCGAGCTACGTGCAAAACCCCAAAAGTCAAAACTTTCAGATCTACAAATGCGGTACGATAAGTATAATATAAGTACAAATCGTGGGGCTGTGCCGACTCTCATGAACCGGTTTAGGAACCGCTAATTCCTAACGGGTCTCAAAGTCCACGCCGACTCAAAGCCACGTGTTTGCAGGCTAGCGAAACCACGTGTGAACTTAAACGACACGTCCGATTACAAGGTCAAAAACGGTCTACGTTTAGCTCAAAAACAACAAGGGTGGTATGGGCACAGACCAAAATGACAAAAAAGGGGAATCGCGTTGTACAATATAATAAATAGAAGAAAGGAATGAACAAGGTGAGGGTTCACGGAGGGTCGGCTGATTCGACAACACTGCTAATTCTCTAAACTAGAAAGTATACATTCGGTTCATTCGTTTCAGTCCAGACACTACGGGTAAGTACCTATATAAGCTAACGTTGTGTTCATGAAATTTCACGGCCCAGTATTTGGATCGTTACCCTCAGTTTGGTGTTGTGCATCAAAGCAAATGATGCCTCCGAAAATAAGCCGTAAGTTTAAAAATTCTAACGTTCTGCAAAGTCGATAAAGCATAGTTTTGCATGCAAACAATGAGAGCGTGAACGGTGATTTTCAGTAGTCGTTACAGCGATTGAAAGGAACGGAATTTAAAGTGGGTTTAATTGCTACCGAATATGAAAGCCACAGGTTTCTTCATTGATTCTCTTCATTCGTTGCTTGTTGCCACCGTAAAAATGGGAGACTCGGCGGTGGAAAAGAAAGTGGGGTTGGACACACGTTTATCGTTCAGTTGGATCGCTTCATACGAGCTTCTCAGACAGTATGGTTTACCATCCATATACGAGTTTAGTGGCCTGAAAGTCATGAGAGAAAACGCGTGTCATCAGTACAGCAGGTACGAAATCACTGGCGACTGTTGTGAGAACTATTTCTAGCTACTGGGTTGAAAGTGGGCGCTCGGGGAAAAGTGGAGCAATTCAAATTCTTGTTCGTAAAGAGTTCAAATGAGAGAATGAAATTCCTAGACCACATAAACGGAATGATTAGACTTGCTCCCAGAGGCACCGGTGGAATGTCCTATAGCTGACAAACCCAAACCGCAAGACGAATTCATCAAGTTTTGTTCAGCTACAACAGGTACTCGATCATGAAAACCGGGAATTACTCTAATCTATAGTAACTTTTACGAGATTGACACGTATTGGCGCGTTTCGCAATCAATTTGTGCAGGGTCCGCCGGCTTTTGATTGTTTCTTTTCAGGTTGAAAAGGCAACAGTGCAGTTTTTTGCCGATTCTCGCGACAAGTTATCCAGCTGGTGCTGTGGCGTTGGATAGCGTCTCAGACAATCATTGGTTAATATACGTTGATTTGTGGGTTGGCAGTTTATGAAATTTTGTTTGGAATGACGAGAATTAAGGCGCCTGTTAATGATGGCCTTTATGGCTTATCGTATCGCTGTCTCGCAAGAACCAATTCGCACCGTCTAACCATGCGGAATCCCCTAGGAATTGTTTGCTCAGTTTCACGTTGTTTCGTTCTAGTAATCGTGATTTTGGCGCCCATTGCTGAAGGGACTCCCGAATTTCGTGCTTCAACTAATCATATGATTAAACAACCTGATAAATTTAGCACCCATGCGTTTTCCTAATCGTCAGGAAATAGAGGTTTATCGAAGTGTGTATGTGTTGAAAGATCTTTCTTAGACCTGAACCTTCAATGCTTGCACCCGGGTTGATTAAACAAGAGTATAAGATGACTAGTAGTAAGCGCCAAATGTGGATTTATTTCAACCCGGCCCTGGGAACATCAACACCGAGAGATTCAGTTGCGGTCGAAGTATCCCTTCAAAATAACCCAAATTGGTTTGCAAATGAGTGGATGTTCACCAAACCCGGTTCACTGGTGCAAAAGTGATCTACTCTATACACAGAATCTCCGTTGGAAGTACCATGTTGTGTACGGAGCAGTGCGAATTATCCTTCGATTTGGACTGTGCAAGGGCGTACGTTCCTGAAGATAAGAGAGGCCTGATTGCGCAGGTGTGGAACGCCGCCGTCGTCGAAGGCATGATGGAACTTTAACAACGTTAATTGCAATACTATGAAAAATTGAAGGTGAATGTTCAGGGAGTGGAGTTTGAGTGGCCGCCCTACGAGCATCATTTCAAAGTATGCGAGGTTCTTGAGGTTCTTGACTGTGTGTATGCATTATTGCTGTTTTTTTTGCTGTTAGCTATTCTGAAAATTCTGAAATAATGTACCATGACCTTGAAAGGTGAAAACTGTTTGCATTAAAGCCTTGCCGAGGAAACATTGAACGCAACGTATACGCACGACAAATCTTCACGGTATGGTACTCTACCTACCTACTCTACCTATCTACCTGAAGCTGCCGGACTGTTGCGAAATTTGCTGTTTTTATATTGTATCGTTGTATCCTACCAGGGATTGAGTCACGTTGGAACACGCAGATGATTTTCGGCCACCTGTAATCCGCCAAAAAGAGGAGTAGGAGAGAATCAACCTGCCAATTGAGTGCTGGCGTGTCGCGTAAGTGAAGCTCATTTGAGCTGAAAGCCGAACAGGCGCTGGGAATCGTCAGCAATGCGCATCTCGCGAAACCCCGGAGAGTCTCGAATTAGGGTTTATCTGGCTGGTCGTTGGAACACTATGCCGTTCGACCACAAGCGACTGATCGGCATTGTGGCTAACTCACGGTTGAACGGGATATTGCGGAACCCACCCGTTAGACAGGAAGAACGCATCGTATCGTTTCGGTTGTTGGCCGGTCTCATGAAAGACGCGCCCAGGGATGAAAGCCTCACTCATCTTGCAGAAATATTCCTCCACTGATTTACTTCCAGACCGACTGTATTTTAGGGGTTTCGCTAATTTCAACTGAGACTTTATCCATGATTTTTTTGATTATCATTGAAGTTTCGTAGAATGCGCGCTGCTGCCAATTTCCAAAAGGAGTGAAACAGCAGTGGAGTTCTTGTGGGCTCATTGGAGAGACGAAACCTCGAGTGCACTGTACTGAATGCCCTTCCACTGTCAACAGTTCTACCACTAACTAACTGACAGACTAAGCTGTCATTCTGGCCTGCCTTGCCGCTACGCGGTTAGTTCAGAGTTTCTTGAAACAGCAGTGCAGTTTGTAAGATTAGTTCTCTTGTTTACAGAGGTCACCAGATGACACCTAACCCTGTATGTAAGGCGCACAAATAGAAGGATTACCTGGGGCTAAATGGAACATCAGCTTGCCATCCCTAAATGTTAGGACGTTCCTAAGAACGTCATCAATGTGTGACATTCAATAAGCGCTTACGCGGACTCAAAACGCATTGAAACTTCCTACCACTCTACACGGCTTGAACCACCTGCCGGCTGTCAATACGAAATAAACCCGACCTAATAGAACAGACCAAACTTTGCGGCATGCACAGTGATGAATTTCGTTTATGCATACGTCACATAAAATCATTATTGAATTTCGCTCATTACTTCAACAGTACACTGAACGCAGTGTCACAAAATATCAAGGTACATTATTGACGCACGACAGTACCCATTATTCACTCTGAAGAGTCTGCTTACATAAAACACCTCTCGCATTTGATGTGAACACTAAGCAGATCCATGTTGCAGTTAACACCCCGACCGACTGAAACCTTGTTTGATTTGCACTTGTGCCGCGAGCGTCCATCGCCGAAGCACATGAGGAAATCGCCGTCACTCATTGTCACGTTTGCTCCACACGCTTGAGGACTTTCGAGGGGAGCACTGCTCTCAAATTATTTAAACATTTTTTGGTGTTTGACATTTCAAATAATTGCGTGCTTGTAGCCTCAAACTGTTGTTTTCCTGGCAAGATGGGTGTAAATACCATCAGCGTGATAAACTTTGTCATCGCCGGTGTCGCTATTGCCTTTTATAGGTATTCAGACGCAAAAGCTAGTGATTCTTAACCTACACGCCCCCTTAACAACATGGCATAATGCCGTGAGGTAGACTGGATGTTAGGGCATTCTGTGACGCCTTCCGGTGTAGGATGAATTACTGTCAACGCTTCAGGTGACATTCACATCGCATGCGATAGCACAGGACGTACCGGTCTCCTAAAAAAGATATTCGCTGAAGATCCGCAACGATGTAACCAAAAAATGGCTTTGGGTGTCAGCCAAAAACACCCGTGAGTAACCGCTGAGAATCACGCAGTCTGGTCCAAAAAGAACTAACCAACCATTATTCTTCAAATAAAGTAAAGCTTTCAAGTAGCACAAGACGCAAAATTGCAGTAAGTGATTGAGGGACACGTATAATGCACGAAGATGTGACGAGACCAACACTTTTGTATTTACCTCAATTCAATGAGCATCTATGTGTCATTCGAAGCAACTACTGTTAGACATGAAGCAGAATTCAGTCGGTCAACAGAGAGCCCTCAGTAGGAGTTTGATGTGTCCAACGGTGCGTCAATAGGCCGAAATAGTTTACAAGGAAACGATCTCTCGGAAGATGAACTGTGGCTGGTAGATGTTGGAGCTCGGCGGCAGGAAGCAGCTTTGAATTTCCATTTACACCATGACGTTATACGCACCAGCGTGAAAGCTGTTGGCACTTTGACGTTCAAAATATGTTGCACCTGATTTACAATCGAAAGCCTAATTCCGGAGGAGTCATCCGTTATCTCGGAGACTCAGATTTAGGACCAGATTTCCTCTGCGTATAACGGGTTCCTCCAGGTCACATGGAGGCCAGCATCCTCGTCCTGACAGACTCGCTGCTGCGTTGGGAAAGGGTCTGATTTCATATGCTTTTTCAGGCATACATGCAAAATGGCACTATGTAGGCTGACGTTCCTCCAAAGTCATACTCCGAACGTTGAGGCCACTCACAACCGATGGAGAATGTGTGGTCCGCGTGTGTAAAAATAAATAACGTTTACAGTAAACACTCAACAGAACGTAGGTGGGTCATCCTGAAAGGCCTAATTTGGTTTGCAAATTACGTTCATGGTGGATAGTTTTTGATGTGACAAAACCAGGAATATTAATCCTGGAGGCCTGAAAGTCTTCGCGCATCCTCACCCATTTAATTCTTTAACGCACTTGAGAGGAACTATGTTAGACGCATTGAGGACCTGCTTTGATGTGCATTAATGAAGGCGCTTTCCAGTGTCTTGTTGAGAGGGTCGTCCCAAAATGCTGACAGCAGAATCCGGCTGCTTAACAGAATTGAACAGAATGCCAAAATGACGTTACAGAGCCTCACCACCTAATGTCAACTACTCACCAACCTGAAACATGTCACGGCTATGATCGGCCAGTCACCTTTGACTGCAAGCGCTGTGTACAGGCAATCAACCACAGCGCGCCTAAGAAAACTGACAACAAGCCCGATCGAAAACAGATGATGCCTCTCACAATTTGGCGACATTGCAGTGAGTGGCAATTTGCTCGTCATTGCCGGTTCAAGCATCACAAATGTTCCAGGTGTAGTTGTCGTCGCCACAACGAAGATATATGTCGATTTCAGAGGCCGCTACTTCCGATACACCATCGTGCAACCACCAAGCAACCGGTCCAACTCGATGACTGCGTCATGCAAAGAAGATTTTGCTTGCCGAAAAAAGTCTGTGATGGTTTGTATCAACGAAATCCCAGCTCATTTGCAGCTTCATACGGGCTCCGACATCACGCTGCTCAGTGAACGAACCTGGAAACGAACTGGTATGCCGCACGTGAAATCGACTGAACATTGGGCCTGTGAAGCTTCTGGTAGCAAACTGAAGTTGACTGCGCTGGATACACATCAGTACCCTCTGCCTCTTCCAAACGATTTGTTCGCGAAACTGAATGGCGGTAAATGATTCGCGAAGATTGACTTGGCCGATGCTACCTTCCAGGTGGAAGTTGACGGAGAATCCAGCGAACTCGTCACGATCAATACGCATCGCGGTCTGTTCCAGTAACCTTCCAGGTGGAAGTTGACGGAGAATCCAGCGAACTCGTCACGATCAATACGCATCGCGGTCTGTTCCAGTATACTCGACTGCCGTTCGGTGTCAAAACAGCGCCGGCCATATTTCAACAGATCATGGATACGATGCTGAAGGATGCCCCGACATTGCCGCCCATTTGATCGATCTCATTTTCGTGAGTTCGGTAGTGGCCGAAGCCGAACCAACCCTGGTCTCGTTTTCATATCGATTATGCAGGTCCAGCGGGTGGTCAACACTTTTTGGTGGTGGTCGATGCCCACAGCAACTGGCCAGAAACTCTCACATTGAACAGCCCTACAACCGCCACGAAAGTCCTGTAACTCCGACGATTGTTGAGTTTCTTTGGAGCAATAGAGACTATTGTATCTGACAATGGTGGTCGACGGCGTTCGCAAACTTTTGTCGGGAGTATGGCATAACTAACGCTTGCTCGTCGCCGTTTCATCCACAGTCGAACGGCCAAGCGGAACACTTCGTTGATACTCTGAAGCGGGCACTTCACAATCCAAAGGGGAGGGACCAACGGAAGGGATTTTGCAACGGTTCCTGCTGGTATATGTAGCGACGTCAAAGCACAACCCACCTGATGGAATATCACCAACAGAGGCACTGCTCCGAAGGAGGCTCCGAACTCCATATGACACTATCCGGCCACAAAAATATCAGGCTGATCACCGCAGCACTAGAATAAAGGACCAGTTCAGCCGGCATCATAGAGCAACTGCGCCCTTATTCAGCGAAGACCAGAGAGCGTTGGTTTGTGGCTACAGCGGCAGACACACTATGTAGACCCCAAGACTCATAGTTCGCCGGCACTACAAAGTGCTCTCCGGGATTCAAGTTGGTTCAGCTAAGTGGATACGCCACACAAACCAAATCTATAAATGCTTCTGGACAATTTTGATCTAGGCACCATCGCAGAAAATCCATCAGCTGCTACGTCGGAGGCCCAGCCTGTGCACAGATTACAAACGCAACGCTGTACAGACAGGATACGCAAGCCAGTGAGGCCACTGAAAGTGAACTTTCGGCTTTGAACCCAATATTGGCCGAATGCCGGTTGCCAATGGGGCATCCAGGAGGCGGGGAAATTTCCGAAGAGTCTTTGCGGCTTACGCTATGTATATGAAGCGCTGTATAAGTGTTCCGCACGTCGTTTCGGGCGTTAATGTACCTTATGTATACTTGGTGGTTGCTTTGACGTGGACGCTTGCTTGGTAGGCTTAGACAGAGATCTAAGCTGGGAAAAATACCGTTAGTACATAGTGTTTGTCACAATCTCCGCAATGAATCTTCTACCCGAGTGGTGTCACAAGTGGTGTGCAATACGGATCGCTCACTCATGAGTGTAAACGCCATACTTAGAAAGCTACCACGTTTCGGATCGGGGGAATCTCGTTAAAACTGGATATAAGGGTACTGAAGAAACAGGATATTGTGTCGACGTTTTTCTCCAACGTCAGAACTGCATCAAAAAGTTTGATCAACATCCCACTTATGAGTAGTGAATTACGTTCACGAATTTTATTGGGATATATGCAATACCGCACGAGCACCAAAATGTTTGCTAACCTTGCTTTGGGATTCATGCCCATCGTCCTTATGTTTCGAGGCGGTTGGTTCTTGTTTCTCGAAATCACAGCACTCTCGGTCCCCATTCGTTGTCGGTGAAGGCAGACTGAGCGCTCGCGACAAGTCCGCTGGCTAATGTTTGACACCACCGTTGTCATCCACATGTCTCTATTGTCCGGTCGATGATCTGTTTCACAAGCATACCAGTCCGTTGAAAATCGTTTTGTCATCAGTCATGCAGATACCATTGGTGTGTTATTGGATGGAGGCTTCAGCTAGAAAAGTTTGGTCCTAATAGGTATTTAACAAGTATGATGTGATTGTCCAAGTGAGGACAACATTTTCGTGAATTCGTTACACACCCAGTGTTTGTTCTGATTCGGGCCGCACACTTCTTGGACTCAACTAGTTTTTCTTATTTATGGCTATTTCCTCGCACACCTTTTAATTTGGTTTAGCGGTCGAGTGATTGCTTCGGTTTATTCTGGGCACTTGTAATTCGAAGAGATTTGTTCTACTTGGTTCTTTGTACGATTTTGTCAGGATGTCAGATTCCTGAAAGTAACCCTAGAAAGCCCGAAACCTGCTGGGACCCGACAGCTCCACCACATTCTCAGTAGGGGAGCCGCCAAACATCTAGGATACTCGATCATTCAATCGATTCGGCAAAACCCGATAAGTGCTCAGGCACGCCATAGAACCATGACCGGATATGAACAGTGATCAGGCATGTCAAAGAAACACGATCGATGTCGATGGATGTTCACTAAACGCCCACCAGACAACCTGTATGAATGTCAAAAATTGCCCTGCAAACAGCGCGGGGCCGTTGTAACTTTTGCAATCGCATGCTCTCGCTTGTTTACAATAAAGCTGTTGTGTTCCCTTGCCGGTGAGTATTTTTTCCGGCACCAGGCAGGGCACCGGGATCAGTGGTCAGATATAAAATATTCCAAGCCGTAAGTTATCCAATAATTAGTACTTCTTTGGTAAGAGTAACTTCCGTTTTTCTGCGTATCTGGTGGCATACGGGGATGTTTTTTATAAAAAACCTTGCCGACGATCTGTTACTTGATTTAGCATAACTGCTTTTGCAGCTGAAAATGCAACCATTTAGTTTTCTATGCACATTGTTCTGTGCCATTTATTAGTGACTTATGGTAGGCAAACTTCTTGTTCTTCGAATATTTTTCCTTGCTCCAAGCGCTTGTCCTCGCCACAGTATTGCACAGTCCATATAAGATGTGTCACCATTACCCGATCCAGTTTGGTCTGGGATGGGTAGTGCGTACTGCAGCTTCGTAGACAAATGCGGAGGAATGTTGGATGCACACTGACGTGCAGAATTCTCTTTTGATGGGCATTATGTGCCTAGAACTGACGCTGACTTTGAGATCTGTGACGTCCCAAAATCATTGTGAGCGTAAACTTCTACCAAAAATCACAAAAAGTGAACATCAATCAGACGATGAATAACTGCTTCACTTTATAGGAAGGCCCATTTAATTATGAGCAGAGTGCCTAAGAGATGTATTGATCTATATGTATCCGTTTCCATGGTTCATTACCGCTCGAGATGTTTTGTCATTGCCAATCTTGGCAACCACACTTAGGTTGTGTTTTGGAACTGTGGAAATATTCGTATATTCATAGTGAACCCACGGCAACCACTCAAAAAATCTTCCCTCCGATCGGAAAGGAACGTCAGGCCGGTGAGCTCAAACCAGCAAACAGCTAACAATCACTGCAACAGGCAGTTCATTTGGACGCCAGCTACCATTTGAACAATGGGAGTACGGTGACGGTGTACAGACAGACCATTTGCACTCTAGCAAACGACGAAGAATAGTTAATTTGAGCCGCCAAGTCAGACAGATGCGCAACATGAGCGATTGGGTGGCCCGTGTAAACAAGCAAGAATTTCAACATTTCCGCGTCCCCAGGCCCACTTTTCGGTGGGTGTGCACTGCGTGTAATCAGTGGACACAGAATGGTTCTAATTGGTGAGGAAATGCGGCTTCCATTTGGTTTAGTTTAGTGGGATCCTGATGAAGCAAAGAACTAAACAACAAACTGAGCTCACAAAGCTACTCAAGGATGGAAGAAACGCAGAATAGCTCCTATCGGCGCAGAAATTTCCGGCTGAACGTGAGGAAATATAAGGGATTCAGTGGAGTCGGGCATGAAAACACGCTCGCTCGTCGTTATTTGGTGTAATTCAAAGCCAAAATTCCAATATAGAATGTGTTTCAGATATCCGGAAGTTTGTACGACTTTCTGCTTTTTGTCGTGAGTCACGTCCCGTCAGAAACTTCTCCCGGGGCCACAGATTCACCCGAGCTGTTTATCAGGTTGACATCACTGCTGGTGGAATTGCTTCCCCACGGAGAATCTCTAGTCAAAATGATCGCGAGTTCCAAGAACGTGGTAGGCCTTGTCAAGGGTCTGACGAGTGTTTTGCAATCTGGAGGTCCTTACATCGAAAGCCTGTTCTCCAAGACAGAAAGCGATGTTTGTGCAAACAATGTGTTGGGTTGTTCATCATGAAGGCAAACGCCGTAATCGAGTGTTATAGTTTCCCAGATGGCACTGTCCATGTCACAAACGACCTAGGAATTGCATTTTGAACGTATGAGGTAACAAACACTCGATCGGGAGGATTACTGCCGGAAGCATCGTTCAGCTCCGAACTAGTCGGAGTAGTTGGTATGCTAATGAAAATTTGATGTACTTGAAGAAATTACGGCTTTTACTAGCATGCAATGTTCTAGATTTAAATTCCGCCTACCGTCGTATTGAGATATGAAAACGATTCGCCACGTTACATGTTTTGTTTGCTGCTAAGTCTATCATAATCCACAATCTGTAGAAATTTGTGAACATTAGGATTTCGCAGAGAATAAAGCAAAATTCCAGAGATTTTAGTAGGTTGATTTTTCCTTGAAAGTTTAATGAACCTTTTCCGATGGGGAGGCGCCTTGCTCCTAATGTGCAATTTTTGTACGGTTCAGTGAGTAGTATGTGTCGCAAATCCGAAACACTTGTTGGCGAACGCAGCACCGACATGTGCCAACTTGGAAGAAGTGGGTTAATTTCATGACTAGAAATCTCAAGCTTTCAGAAAATAAAGAGCAGTTCCGCCAGATTGTATTTAGGCAAATTTTAGGTCACATTTTATCAATTCGTTCCTTATGAATGGGTAGCGACGTTTGAGTCGTTGGCGTGCCTATATCCAGATGTTTCCTAAGAACGTCTAAGTGGGCACCCAGTGTTCCGTATCGCTCATAAACACGGCTGCTGTGTGCGTCCCTCAGATGCCGAGTAAGATTCCGTTTCTGGCAGAGCGGTGCCCCACACGCCTCACATTGTCGACGCGTTCC